TTTCCCAAAAAAAAAAAAAAAAGAAAATGTGCTTCAGCCGGTTGGAAAATATTTTCAAGGAAAACCAAGAAAATGCTGACGTAGCGGGTGGGGAGGGAAAATATTTTTGGAGAAAAATTTGGGCTATCAAACAGCGCAAAAGATGGAAAACGGAAAATATTTTCCTACTTCTCTGGAAAATTTCGCGAATCAAACGCGCCCTTAGATTATTTTATTGTTTTTCTATATTGAAAATTGAAACACTTTGAATAAATTAAATTATAGAGAGTGAGTTTGGCTCTTCAAATTTGGAAAGTCAAACACACTTTCTAAATTAAAATTTTAATTTAAAGAGTCTCTTGAAATATGATTTTAGATGTTGACTTTTTAAAATAGAAAGCATTTCATATTTAAAGAGTCACTTAGAGATGCTCTTAGTGTATGTTTGATTGCAAGTATNAAAGAGTCACTTAGAGATGCTCGTAGTGTATGTTTGATTGCAAGTATGGAATTTGCATGGAAAGAAAATATTTTCTAGACAATTGAATTGCCTAGAAATTATTTATATAGAAATTGTTAATTAAATGCGTTTGATTGACTTAATTTTCCACCTAGAAAATATTGTACTTTTCCATATTTAGGTGTTTGATAGACATTATTTTCCATGGAAATGGTCGTTTTTTCCAACATTTGTTGTTTGATAGCAACTATTTTCCATGGAACTTGTCACTTTTTCTATGGAAATTGTCACTTTTTCCATGAAACTAATTAATTGAATTTGATCAACTTTTATCATATATGTATTCAACATTTACTAACCAATTGATTTTTTTTAAAGTAAATTTTTTTAAAATAAATTGAAAATAACAAAAACATTACGTACAAACCATTTATAAGTTAAAAAACCCAAGTATCCCCTTCATCTATATTTTAAACGGTGCATTATGGTAGCAACATGCATTTGTAATAACAAAACAGGCATCAATAATGTATACTCTAATAAAAAATCCAACAAGCAAAATATAAAGAGAATCCATTATTACAACTTTAAAACCATTTAAAACAATGCTTCACCATCAATCCACCACCTAAATTGAGCTTTAACCAATCTAGGAACATTTGCCTCCCAAAAAAATGCCATAAACTAACAAAGTTCAATGAATCTCTATTGTTAGAAAGTAGTAATTCAAACCAATATAGATATCACACTTTTACGTATGGTTGTTGAATTATCCAAGCATGTCATCTCAAAGTAGTGGAGGTGAATCACGGCCAAGCTTTCCATATACCAAATCACGCATGAAATCTTTATCAGTCAAGCTCATAAATACTCTAGCCTGACTCTCATCCAACTCAAATACTTTCATGACTTGCAGTATGTCACGTTTGTCTATGTTCATGCCTTGTAATTTTTCTATAACCAATTGCCAATTGACGTGGTTTAACTCCATAGCATTAGCAATTCTTTTAGATGATTCGGCAATGCTTGACAGGGTATTGAGACTCTTATCATGGGATTCTGTACGTCGACGTCGGATTTTGTTGGTTCCTCTTTCGGTGTTACGCTTCGGAGAGTGAACTGGACTTCGATCCATGTCCTTGTTTTGATCGTCAACTTCATTCACATTTTCATCTGAAATATAATAAAAAAATAACTTGAAGAATCATTTTATATAATATGAATAGTATATATTTATTATGTACGATCTTTTACATACCATGAATGGGGGAGAAATTGTCATTGCCGGTTATAGTGCGATCTCCTGTAGTAGAATCATTTCCAAAGATAGCCCCCAAATCATCATAACGAGGACAAATTTTCATCCTCCACTTCCAAATTCTGGGTTTCCCTACAAAAAAGGGGGTTATGTTATATGCACAGTCAATGTCCAAAAGAAACTATGTTATTAAAATGTAATGACTAATAATATCATTGGTCAATGAAATATTATACCTTCAGAAACTCCTCCCAGGTGCATTTGCTGTAACACGTCCAGTGTCAGGATCCAACCCAAAACTACTCATATTTAACAACTGACGAACTTCAACATATTCCTTTTTTAGAGCCTTCAATCCTGCCCTTACATTCTTTTCTGAAACCATAACTCCACATCCGTTGTACACCCTCTCAATTGCTTTGGACACGTGATATGATGAAAAGTCATTGTCACTCCTTTTGTGACCAGTCAGCAGCTGATGTAATAGTGCAGTTATCATACATCCATCCATTGCATCACTCCAACGTACATGACGGGTCCTAGAATTAGGATCCACTTGGGTTGAGCTTATTTCCTCTACATCTAAATGGGTGGTTGGTCTAGGAACTCGAAAAGGTGCCGTAGAGTTTTGTCGATTATGTGCCATGAAATCTCTATTGCAATATTAAAAGTTTATGGTCAACCATTAAATAATAGCATGTAAAAAATATAAGCCAACAATATGTTTCCATTAACTGAAATTCCAATCACAACATTTAAAAATCTAGCAACTTTACATCTAATATATTAATATGTCTTCAATTAAGCAATAACTAAATATGAAATTATATCAGGTTTATGTCCATTACATATGAACATAAATAAATAAATAAAACAAATTCAATCAAAATCAACTCCCGTATTCTGATTGGGAAGATAATCATCCCACATTAAATCAGCAGTTGTATTCCTCTTATTAGACCATGTTTCCTGAGATGTGAAGATATGTGAGCGTTTGGAGTGTCATTTTAAGGTACATCAACATGTGTAGGGTTCACCTCATCATCGCTACTATCCAAGTTCTCTTCATAAACATCTTCTACGTCATCAATCCTTAAGAAGTTGTGGATGGCAGAACAAGCAAGGACTATCTTTGCTTGTGCGTCAATGTCGTGGTAGGGTTGATGTCTCAAATATGCAAATCTTTTTTTAAGTAAACCAATTGTCCTCTCAATAACATTACGTAGAGATGAATGTCGAAAATTGAACAACTCTTTGCCACTTTCTGGATGTTGACCTTCAATATCTCTACGATGATGATGAGTTCTACGATATGGTGTAAGAAATCTCGTGTCGACTAGATAATAATTACTTATTAAAGAGTTGCTCATTACATAGTCATTATTTAATAATTATAACTAGTACAAGAAACAAATACTTTCTAAGTAGTGATACTACTTACCAAAAGGAATTGTTAGCTTATGTCCTTGGCATAATATTGCACTCCATAACAATCGACCACCGTGTGCGGATCCCTCCCAACCAGAAACCACATATGTAAATTTCATATCAAATGTGCAAGCCACTAAAACATTTTTAGAAATCACTTGCTTTCTATTATGATACCTAACTTGCTCCTCTAAGGGGACGTTCGCAACACTATATGTACCATCTATTGCCCCTACAACATCCTTTACAAAGTATTTCAAAATATTATAATATTGAACTTCTAAGAAATATAATGAAATAACTACAATCCCCTAACCTGAAAAAAGGAGTACCACGGCTTCACATTTTTCTTCTCATATGGTGAGTTATGAATAGTGGCATTAATCACAACATCTCTATACAGTCCAAGACAAGCTTGTAATACCCTATGGAAGTAAAAACTCATAGTTTGACCAGATCGAAAGAAAGTGAAACGTCTCGATTACGTTGGTCATGCCCAATGGTATTCAGAAAAATAGCCACTTGTTCCTCCATTCGAACATATTTACTATCAACCAATCCATAAGTTCGCAAACGAGCACATAATCTTTAAAATGGACATATTTTCATCCTAAGTAGTAGATCACAACATGTTGTATCACTCGTATCAAACATTCGTGTAAGTGTCGTTTCTCTTTCAGAATCCCAATTTTTATGAGGAGCCCTAGGAAGATGTCGTTCACGACGCCAAATATAATTACATATGACAATTGCTTGCATGACTATCATCCAAAATAAACCTAAATGTTCTCGTTGGAGACGACGTTGATTCCTTATTGTAGCCATGTTACGCACTACCACGATAAATAAAAATTCAATAAAATGAACATATAAATTACATATTATGAGTATATAAATAAATAATAAATTTAATCATTTGGTCACAATTTACATTATAATTATACAATTTCAACAAGCACCTACCAAATTTGAACAAACGACCACAATCTGTTTCTCCACTAGAACGCCAGTAAATAATGTTAATACCTGCAAAATGGTAATATTAATCAAGTCATCTGACCAAAAACAAGAGATTATACTATCTCATGCTCCCTCTTCGCATGTAATAGGTTTCAGGCTCCTACTTTGACGAGAAAATCAAAAGCTAAAATTCAAGTTCATCTAACATCACACAAGTTTAAATTTATAATTCCAGAAAAATACCCTATTAAATATAAGGGAACAAATATAATTCCCAAATATTTTGGTAGTATCACTGAACCAAATTATAAATATACCAATATTCTATCACTAAACAGTAGATATATGTGTAAAAATCATAAATGCACTTCACAGAACAAAACTATAAATATACAACAATTAATAAAGACAAGTCTAATTAATCCAATTGATTCATTTCCACCCACAATCGTTAAATGAGCCCAACAATTGGGCCTATTACATTAATCCAACACATTGCATATAAAAATTTCATTTATATTAGATTGATACTTGCACAAATGCTTTACCCGCAGATGCACCAGCTCGAGATCTTCACTAGTATCATTTGTGATTTTCTGCTGCATGGTTAAATAAATAAGTTTGTTGTGAACTTGTAATATACAGAGCCGTTCATCATGTATCTTCCATGTGGTCGAACTACAAATTTGAATAAATGGGTTCTCATTCTAATAGTTTAAGCTTTTAGTTGAGCAGATTCTACATGGTATCAAGCCAACAAAAAACCGAGTTCAAGTCTCGTTGCCAATTTTGCACAAAAATAGAAACTATATAACTGAATTCAACCTGCACACAAGGGGAGTATTGAAGATTGCATCTAAATATAAATTAGCTTTCCTCTGCTTAATGGACTGAAACAAAATGCTATAATAGACAATGGGAAAACTAACTTTGATGTACGAGGGGCATCTAAGAAGATGCAAGTTTATCTTTAACGAAGAATTGAAATAGAAAAACCATTCGATGAATTTTCAAAGCAAAAGAGCAACAAACTCGAGCTCCTTAATTCTGTCACTGCTTGATTGAAATAGGTTTAAAATTGTCCGAATTATCTTTCATCAATAAAAGATGTTGATGAAAAGCTAACATTCTAGCTCAGAGCAAAAGGAATCGAATAATAAAACACAATTCAGCAGCAGGACTCATGCCTAATTGAATTGCAAAGGCACACATCCGTAAACTCATGGAGTCCAAACATCCCAATCTCACATATTCGAAAAACCAAATACGTAGAAGATAAAAACTATTTAAATCAAGATTGAAAGCTCTGACTAATCAATTAATAGAATTTCAAAAATAATTATAATCTACAATTTAAAAAATTTCCAATTGAATGCGTGGAATGAGGCGTGCGTAGTATTATTCACCTCATCTAAGATCTCGCCGGCGGAGTGTAGAACCCGAATAATACAGAGTCATCGATTGGTTAAGGCATAAGACAGAATTAAGCGTTTGTTTTTGAGCTTTTTATGGTATAGATTTTTGGCTTCTTCTTCCTGGTTTTGTTGTGTAATTAGAGGAGAGAGGTTTTGTAGGTGGGTTGAGATGACGGAGAGACACGGAACACATGTTGGTAAAATAGTTGATAAACTAGAATTTTTTGAAAAGATTGAATTCCATGGAAATTAAAATCCTACTCCCCCAAATAAAATATTTTTCTTGTTTTCAAGGAAAATATGATCACGTGATCAAAAATAGGAAAACAATTTCCATGGAAAAAATTATCAGTCAAACAGTACAAAAGTAGGAATTTTGGTGGATAACCGACATTATCTATGGAAAATATTGGCAATCAAACACACTCTTAGCGTAATTAATACGTTTTAAAATTACAAAGCCACCTAAATCCCAAATGATTAGTAGTTCCTATTCTAGAAAACTCTCAAAATGAAACCCCCTAACCTACTCCACTTCTTCTCACCATCGCCTCGATAGATTCCGCTAGCCTTTTTCTCTTGCACCGTGTTTTTTTTCTTTTCAAGTTTCCAAGCATATTCCTTTGAATTAGTTACTCTAACTGATGGCTGATCAATGCCATGTATTTCAAATTGGGGTTTGCTAAAAAAGGTCATGTACACAACGTCATCTAGGAATTGTTTAGCACATTCCTTGGACTTTTGTTTAGGTCGTCCACGAGTTTGCTACTATAAATAATCAGAATATGGGATTTTGAAAGGGTTGTACGTAGTCAGGGGCGGACCCACATGGGGTCATGTGGGGTCAAATGACCCCATAAATAATTTGAGTTTTTTTTTTGTAGTCTGAACTTGTGAGAGAGAGTGTGCATGGAGAGAAATAGTCCATTAAGTGAGAATATTATATTATTTAATCAATTAAGTGGTGTGTGTAAAAATTATATAACTTCAAATTTTGTTCAACAATTTGATCTTATAAACTATCTCATTTGTCCTAATATTGTTTTATATTTTTACCATCATTAAATTTATGGTCGAACTTTATTTGAGATTGAATATTTCATTTTGCTTATTGGTTTATTGAGCCAGTAAAGAAAAATATGAATACAT